TACCATCTGGATATTTCAACAAGTTATCTGTTTTCTTGTTTACTTTAACACATTATTGTGCCTATTATTCTCATAACTTATTCACATGCGTTTGTGTAAAGTTTATGACATTTCACTGTACAAAATACAAAAGAACTCAGAGACATCATGGTTGTTAACAGTATGCATCGAAAAGAATATACATTATTCAGATGTTAATTCCTGAACTGGTAACATCCAACTAGCGACCATTCAATATTTATCGTCAGGATCGATCAAGAAATAAGAAACGGAAACTTGTTGAAATACTTTATGCTGAGAATTCTGTTGTGCCAAAAATAAAATATCGAATAAAGCCACTAATAATAATAATAACAAACTATGGATTTAGTTATATAAAACAGCAAATTTGACTCAATAATTTCAGCAACTTAAATATTTCTATTCAATGCTAAGTGTATTAAATTTCTAGAAAATCATATTGAAATACAAGCAGATTGATCGTTCTTTATTCAACTAATTATATTGATCCGTCTCCAAAATTACTTTGATGACTATTATTCCTTCCCATCTAAATGCCTTCTAAACAAACATCACCATATTTAAATATTAAATAAATAAATTTATTAAAAAAAACAAAATTGTTATGTAAATTAGATAAAGCAGTAATTATTAATTTTATTTCAGTACCACGACAGGTCTATTTTGAATGATTATAATCAGAGAAGGGTTATTGTGGATATTATAGTAATTTAATAGTTGGATTTATGAATCAATTGAAGCTAGACGACCATTGAAAACCTGAAAGCATTAGATGGCCGTTTCGTTCTAGTATGGAACTCCTCACCTGTACGCATCCATGATCCCGCCTTGCGGGATTCGAACCAAGCGCGAACGCTTAACCGAACTAGAACGAAACGGCCGTTCAGTGCTTTCAAATTTTATGTGGTGATCTAGCTTCAACTGACTAATGAATTCAACTATCAAATTATTTTGAATGAACTACTTATTAGATCATTTAATTCTGATAAATAAAATATGTTCGAGTTTTATTATTGAAAAAATTATGTACTTTAGTAAGATAACCAAAGAAGGTTAAACAAAGATACACTTACCTAAATATCATTTCCATACTGTAGCCTATTCTTTAAACAGCATAATGAAGCATAAATGGATAGTACAATTTCAATTATTTTTATTAAAAATAACTCGTTTTAAAATTCTTTTTCAAAAACAAAATATACTATTTACACTGATTGGAATTATACTCAGAACAATTGAAGTTCTGCTTCAAAGTAAACCTTAGAACAAACATTTTCAAATTGTTTAACATTTGAATCTTATAAAAATTAACTTAATTATTTGAGAAAATGGAATTAACAACCTTTTCTAGGAAGTTTTCATCTTGAAACAGTTCATTAATATATCGGTTTTAGATACTCAAATGTTTACATGAACTGTCAGGATACAATATTCAGACTTAGATTTTATTACAGAAAATGAATTATAAAATAAGTATCAGAAGGGGCTTTGTGGAGATTTTGGTAATTTCAATAGGTGAAATCATGGGTTAATTGAAGCTAGACCACCATGGAAAACCTGGAAGCAATGGACGGCCGTTTCGTCCTAGTATGGGACTCTTCAGTAGTGCGTATCCACGATCCCGCCCCACCCCACGAGATTTGAGCGCTTAACCATTAGTCCACTGAGCCAGCATCGAACGGTGTTAATGTCCAACTCCAACTGCTGAGGAGTCCCATACTGGGACGAAACGACCATCCAGTGCTTCCAGATTTTCTTTGGTGGTCTAGCTTCAATTGACTCATGATTCCAACTACTGAAATAAAAATAAGTGTCAAATTAGTCACGTACGTGGAATTCTTTTTAACAAATTTTTAAACGCTCAATTTTAAGATTGAAAAACGTGTAATTTTATCCAGAATAGAGTTGAACTTGAGAAACTTCACTAAACTGAGTAATTTTGTTTAGAAGATCAAATTCTTAAGTGAAAAGAAGTGGATAAGTATGACCGATTCGAAGTAACCATAAAAGTTCACTTACACATCTTCCTTATTGTCATGGCGATTATTCAGATGTGGCTAATATGAAATCTGAAAAAGTTCTCCAAAGCAACTATCTATAATGCTAAAACATGTTGGTTGTTTGGATCTTCTCATCAATGTTTAAAACTTCACTCCATCTGTCTCTTTTAGCAAATATATTTAGCTAATAAGTTTTGAATAAGACGGAACACGAATACTCGGTTTCATTACTCATCAACATCCACTTCTACTTACAAAGCGTACAAATTTGGTCGCACTTAGAAAAGTCTTGAATTTGGCTTTACTTTCATATTTGTTTTGAGGCCTAATAAAATTCAGAAAATATGAATGTTTGAAATAGACAATTTGTTTTACCATTGAACAAGTACATCAAAATCATACACCTTCCCAGATTTATTTCTTAATATTTTAATATTTTATCTCAATACATATGACACAAGTATTGATTATACATTTTGGTAATCTGAGTTTGATTTTCATTCAATTTCATATGAATATGTAAACAACTTTTGTGTTTGTTACTGTGTCTGTTATTTTCCAAACTGATTTTTGTTTTTATGGTTAGTTTTTTTTTATTTAAATGCAAAATAAAAACCTATTGAAAATAGTTTGACCTTCAAATATGACATCAAAACAATGCAAATTTAAAGAGGCCATTAACGTAAAAAAAAAAACAACTGTAGGTGTTACTTTCATGTCTTTTTTCCTAAAGACATTAGTGTCACACATATGTTGTTTAGTAGATTGTAGAGATCTTGAAATGATAAAATATGCTTTATGAGAATTAAGTATATTTTATCAATAATTATTGCTTCAGTCAGACAAAAATTTCAAAGTACTTAATACTCCAACTAAAACAAAATGTGCAAGACTTAATTTCATCTTTGATTTCGTCTAAACATTGTAGACTTTTCATAAAACTTAAATTCTGTATTTATATATGTCCCATTTATGTTTATATTATTTCAGAGATAATGTAGATTCAAAACCGAACATGTAGTGAGGATGTGGTTTACCCAATTCTTAGAAGAAATAGTCATTACAATGACTATTATTATTATTAGAAGTGAAAGAAAAACTAAACTAGAATGTATGTCGAAAGATTGGAAGTCTGCCTTGGTCATCCTATACCGTAGTGAAACATCGGAATAAATTAAGAGGCTTCTAAACAAGTATGATATAAGAGTGTATTTTCGGGCTTGTGACACCATAAGGTCGGCATTAGTGAAGGTTAAGGATGGATTTTCAAAAGAAGAACGATAGAATATTGTCTATGATACCAACTGTCATCACTGTAATGAAGATTATATGGGAGAAACTTAAATACAATTAAATTTGAGGTTGAGGGAACACAAACAATGTTCGAAAAATGTACCTAAATTCTCGGTTGATCTAAAGAATTTTGAGAAAAAGTCGGTCATAGCGTTACATGCGTTAGAAACAGGACACAACACCAATTTTGAATGGACCAATATACTTCAGAAACGTTTTGGCACACATAAAGAATGATTGACAGCGAAGCGCTGTATATATGGGCGAATAAGATCAGCCTGAACAGAAGGATGGTATTCAACTAGCAACTACTTGGCAAGTATTCGTTAACATGTAATTGAACCCTTTCACTATCTAACGTGTTTACTTTACATACATCGTTATTCTGACTGTAATTAGTGTGGGTTATTTTAGCAATCATTTATATTCACATCGTGAACTTTTCACATGATTCGCAATTAACCGACTCATGATAAAAGACCAATATTTGAACGAAGAATATTCTTTTCGATAAATTCCATTCCGAAAAATGGCCAGGTTAAGGGCAAACAGCATCGTTTAAAGCGTGTGAATTTAGGATTTAAAGCAATTAGTCCCCTTGATAAATTTCGATAGTGTAATAAACAGTTGATTATCAGAACTATATGATATATTAGCGCAATACATTCAAACAATCTTCTCATACATAAACTTGTTAAGAACATTTATATATAACTTTCACAGGTTGAAATCATGAGTCAATTGAAGCTAGACCACCGTGGAAAACCTGGAGGTACTGGAAGGCCGTTTTGTCATGGTACGGGACTCCACAGCAGTGCGCATCCACGATCACGCACCCTGTGGGATTCGAATCCAGGACATACTGGTTTCGCACGCGAGCACTTAACCATCAGACCACTGAGCCGGCATCCGACGGTGTTAGTGTCTAACTTCAACCAATCCACGAAGTTGCGACACCGTACACCATTGTCTTCAGTGAGCTGATATCTCACAATAGACCTGGTTGAACTCCACTGGTAAAGGCTTCTCACTAGAACTCCAGGAGTATCTCCTGAAGTCAGTCACTAGTGAGCAGATGATTATTATCAGAATAGGTTTTGTGGAGATTTTTAGAAATTTCACAGGTTGAAATCATGAGTGAATTGAAGCTAGATCACCATGGAAATCCTGGAAGCACTGAACGGCCGTTTCGTCCTAGTATGGGACTCCTTAGCAGTGCGTATCCACGATATATAAAATAAAAGGTCGACTAGACTAGAAATGAACGGTAAGAGGAGACAAGGATAATAAAGAAATAATGTGAAAACAATATGAAACCTCATCACGTGATTCAAAGTTTGCAGCATCTGTAGACATAGTACAAGGTTGTACAAGAACTTTGATTTCACCAACGGCCTGTTCTTTCCAGGCTTTATCGACATGACGGTAGGCACGGCAACGTCGAAGGAATATACAAAGCTCCTCATCTTTTCCAGTCTTAATCTCCGAACTATGCAAATTGAACGAGATCAAGCTTTATTACGTCTATTTTCTAATCAAAAATTACCTGTTATTTATCCGTCAGAACTTAATCCATCCATTTTACCCGAAGGCGAAACTGTCAAAGACTAAAGCCAATCATTTTCCGATGTGCAGTCAGCAACATTTAATCTTTCAAAGATAAAAACTACCTCGTCTCCTGGAAATATGAAGAATTCCAAATTAGAACAGTTACTTTTTGTCTCAGGAGAAATTGCCCCCAACATAGGAGTCTCCATTGTTCCCAAAACCCCTTATAAGCCATCGACTGAGAAAAGTGTGAAGTTTGTCAATAAAAATGAAACTGTTCCATCATCATTATCTACACCTCTTTCTTCTAATAATCCTACTTCTATCATTAGTAGTAAACCATCAAACATAGCTTTTAATTTGACAAGAAATCAGATTGCGATCGGTTCAACTGTATCATCATTAGTAAATTCTGCATCACTTTCAAATGTCAAAGAAGATGATCCAAACACTACTACGTTCCAACAATCTTTATCACTAGGGATGAACCCAACTCAATAGCCCTTATTCAGTCAACCAAATATCACGTCAGCTTTCACTGTATCTTTAACTGCCAATGATAGTGGTAATCTATTCGTAAAATCTACTTTATTTAAACCGCAAACACCATCATCATTGCTGATCGTGAGTACATCTAGTGGCGGTGCTTCTATAGCTCAATCGTCTGCACCATTTGACCTAAACAGTTCTAAAGTCACTAATCCAGTTTTTCAAAATACTGAACCTACTATCACTACGACTAATAATTCTATTATAACATCCGTCACAACAATCAATGAAACAAGTCTCATCAATTCTAATCCAGTTATTCCTACTACCAGTTCATTTTCCAATCCTTTAGTTATTCCTAAACCTATTGCCAGCAATCCATCGAATGATTTCAATAATGCTTCACCATGTAAAGAAGCAGATGAAATTTAGAAAGAAAATCTTGTTCCAAACATCTCTTCAGTTAACTTGCCTCAAACTACTACTGTTTCTTCTAAATCACCTGGACTATCCTCACTTTTACCAACTCCAGTATGTGGTAGTTCAGGTATAATGTTTGGGTCTGGACAAAGTCAAATTATCAGTACTGCCACTACCGATACTGCGATAAGTTCTTCATTAAGTTCTATTTTCACTGGTATACCATTGAACACTACAAGTACAATAATCACAAATTCAAATACTACAACAGAGTCCAATGTTATATTCAACAGTAGACCATCATTCGGTGCACCAAATTTGGTTACAGCCACTACTATTGTTTCATCAACCTCCAGCACTGGTACAAATATCTTTTTGCTTGACAATCCAAATCAGTTGTCTTCTACGATTAATATGGAATATGTAACCACCGTTTCACATGCGAATACTGTGATTTGTCTCACTGGAATTTCTATTTCGAAAAGTGAGGCTTTCAATAAAACACCGACTAAATCCGTCTCTTCAGTTTTCGGTGGTCTTTTTGCGGAAGTGGCGACCGTCAATTCTCAACATATTACATGTAATTCAGCTAATTGGGGTACTGGCCTCTTAGGCTCACCTATGGGATCCGATACACAACCTAGAAACAATTCATTCTCTGTGTCAAACTGAAGTCTTGGCGGGAATTCAACACCTCAAAATTCTGCACAAAGTGCTTTTGGCAAAGCATTTGGTAATACAGCTTTTGCCAATCAAGCTACCTCTACTTTATTTCGTTCACATAATTCAAGCGCCCAGAATAATATCATGTCTGGAGCGAGTCCATCATTGTCAAATCCTCAATCTGGTCTTTTCAGTAGTTCAATTTTAGGTTCATCTTTGTTTGGCTCTCCTATAGCTGACATGTTTTGTACTCAGTTCCGGATTGGTTTAATTGACCTTAAAATCCAAACCATTGTCACTTATTTCCTGTCACCTTTTGTGTGAAAAGAATATGTGTGGTTTCGTTTAAATCAGTAAGTTTTTAATCAAAAATAAAACGTTATATTTTTGATAGCTTTGAAAGATAAAACGTGACCAAACACTTCATAACAATCAATACAAACATGAATTGATGAGGAATTTTATTTTCGTGTACTATAATATCAGTTATCTCCCCTTTTCAGAGACAGACATTGTTTAATGGTCTCACTGGTAAAAAGATAATTTAATCTCATCGAGTATGAAAAGTCACACTTCTAAACTTAGTTATCTGCAAACTGAATTATTATTATTATTATTACTACACTAGTTGTATAAGGTTCATTCATAGCAATTTTTCAGGTACTCTGATGTACTTAATCGTAAGACCAGTTTACCAATTATATTTTAACCAATTAGTATTTTACTAATAATTTTCACCTACATCTACTTTATTCTATAACACAGTATCTAAATGTAAAAAGATAACTATAATTCTAATTCAGTTTCAAGAGCTGAGAATTAAACAGTAATATAATGACTTGCATAAAATTCATGTCATAAACTAAGCTATTCTTCTATTTATGTGAAATGCAAAGGATGATTTATGAAATATTTAACAGGTATTATGGTTACTATCTAATTCAAAATCAATGATTATTTTACCATGATAATGATTTACATGAAAGCTTAGTTATATACACTTGAAAAATTGAGAGTAATTTTCAATCGTACATTAGTTTTGATTTAAGTGTAACATAAATCTAGTAAACATTAAGTTTATTTTATAATGTTTTTTTTTTGGTTGTTGCTAATATTAACTCTATAAATAAGTGTTGACCGAATTAAAACTTTAAATTTTAGAAATCCTTTAGTTTTAGTGTAAATCCATGTTCTTCACATGTGATTTTTTCTCTTTTAATAAAACAGTATTTAGAGCAATAAACTCTTTACACTAGATACTATTTATTCATCCAACAAATAAGGTCATTGTGATAAAATTTAGGTTAATAATCAGGCTACAATTAAAAAAAAAAGAGATTTAACTCTAATCGACAAGAAAATTATGTGAATGCCAATTAACCTCATTTAGGGATTTAGTTTATTATTTGGGTTTATTACCAATTCTATTGTATCGAAATGGGAATAGTATCACTAAGGTTATGAAATAAATGTTTAAATTAAAAATGCTTTGATGATGAGTAGAAACTTCATGTAGTTTTTCATAAAACGTTCATCCTGTTTCGTGTTATACCTTTTGATCATAGGCAATATTGTTTAATCGTGCAACAAGACAGGACTTTGAAAGTAGTGTTTAGATAAAAAGCAAAACAATGTAGAACAAAAATTTCCTTATCAAGTTAAGGGTATCCCGATGCTCGAATAACTTATACATGCTAAACATAGTAACCGACACTACACAGGTATAAAGCCCTTAATAGGACGAAATGAGTGTTTCAGTTTCCACTGCTAACCTCAAATCAAATATTATTAGTATTTCTTCATATTTATATGGATTAAAACAAAATGTTACACTAGTAAATTCAAACCTATTGGAATGTTGTTCAATTAGATAATTTGTGAAGATAAGTTTATTTTAGAAAAAATTGTCTCAAAATGAAATGATGCCATAGTAAAAATCAATAAAACTAGAATATTATCAGAAGGTAGTTATGTGGAGATTTTAGTAATTTTATAGTTGAATTCACTAGTCAATTGAAACCAAACCACCATGAAAACCTGGCAGCACTGGATGGTCGTTTCATCTTACTATACTTAAGCGTTCGCGCACGAGACTGATAGGTCCTAGGTTTGAATCTCGCAAGGCGTGATTGTGAATATGCACTCCTGATGAATCCGATACTAGGACCCAAATGTCTGTCTAGTGCTTCCAGGTTTTCCATAGTCGGCTAGCTTCAATTGACTCATGAATTCAACTATAAAACTAAAATATATTTTGAAAGACACATTTCTATATATTTCGTATTTACTTATCAAAAAATTTAAACACTGATTTTACACATCATTTTTGTTTTGATAGAACAATTCTTTTTTAATCAATACATCAAAAGAGATTTATTTTAGTGAGTAAGATGGTTATGAAATGAAATTACATTAGGAAAAACATTTATGTTTGTTTGTATTTACGGATAATTGTTTTTAATGTATATACATAACCCTAAGAGTACAATCATAATATCAGTAAATTGGTTTAAAATGATCTAAATATTACTTTATTATGATATATATACTCATAAATAGAAGTTCACTGAAATCAATTTTTTTTTCTTTAGTTGAGGTCATTCAAAAAAATGTCATTAGTTAAAAGTTTATCTTTTCATCTTCTTTAGAATATTCATTCAATAATACAAAGGACCTGATACGATGTTATAACTCTTGAGAGGGTTCTAAACGTTTTTATTCAATTAGTTCATTTTACTATGGATATCAAAATTTTAGCTTACCAATTTATTATTATATTTATCAATTAGGAAATTCAAAATGATATTCTACCTAACTACTCATGTTTTATAAGTCATTGATAGTTACTTACAATTAAAACACATAATGTATCCATAGAAACACCCCCCCAAAAAAAAAATTAATACATACTTCATAATAAAATTTATTTATTATTTTATTTACGCCTGTTACTCCCAATGGAGCATAGGCCGCCGACCAGCATTCTCCAACCCACTCTGTTCTGGGCCTTCTTTTCTAGTTCCATCCAATTCTTGTTCATTTTTCTCATGTCTATTTCCATTGTTCGGCGTAATGTGTTCTTTGGTCTTCCTCTTTTCCTTTGGCCTTGAAGATTACATGTGAGGGCTTGTCTTGTGACGCAGTTGGGTGCTTTCCTCAATGTGTGTCCTATCCACTTCCAGTGCTTCTTCCTGATTTCTTCCTCCGCTGGGATCTGGTTTGTCTTCTCCCACAGTAGGTTGTTGCTAATAGTGTCCGGTCAACGTATCCGAAGTATTTTGCGTAGACAACTGTTAATAAACACCTGTATTTTCTGGATGATGGCTTTCGTAGTTCTCCAGGTTTCTGCCCCATACAGTAGAACTGTCTTGACATTTGTATTGAAAAACAGAATAATAAAATAAAAGGACAATAATCTTGGATTCCATTGATGACCGCTATCCATTTCTGCTTATAGTAATCTTATATGCCTATCGAACAATAAAAGTATAGCAAAAATTTAAAAAAACATTATTTCAAACTACGCAATGAACCAGTATATTTGTACTGAAGGGCATGTGATTATTGCTGACATTCTAGCCTATTATAAAATAAGTTATTAGACTATAAATAAAACGAAATGTATATGAGGATAACTAATTTGGATATGTCCACCAGGTTAGTATGTTAAAAAGAAAAACAATTCAACAACTAAACTCAATGGACGTTTGTTTAAAGGAGATTGAGTTACTAATTATTGTTTTCTCTTCACATTGATTCATATGATATACGTAATAAGATTTACTGACATTCAGTAATATGTAAAGGCAATTAAGAAAAGTCAAATAAATGTATATGTACTATGAATTAATAGAAAAGATTTTTAACAAATGCTTTTGTTAGTATTCCACTCTTTAGGCTGGATGATTTACTTGCAAAGCAATCATTGTCATTAAAGCAAACAACATAAGGGTCTAATTTAAACTTGAACTCTGGATAATTATTGTTAAACGTTTTGAAAATTAGCAGAATTTATTACTTCGAAATGAGAACATATTATTAGATTGATAGATCAATAGATAGATAAGTAGACGGAAATAAATTGCATATGCCTTGGTTTAATTATCGCACACCATACCAATACATGAGATAAATAGTGGTGATTACATTGATGTTTTTGGGGACACTGACGTCAGGAATGTAATCGAAAAATAAAAATATTCCAAAATGAACACTAAAAGGGGAGGATAAATAATGGACATTTCTAAACTACTAGTTTCGAGTTTTGTTACATAATTTGAAGAAATACAGATTATACTAATCTGATATGTCTTGACCATAATTTTTCATTTTGCACAGTATATCAGTCCAACTGGCAATGAATTTAAGAATCGGTCTCATAGCTCGCCAACTCATGATGTACTGATGACATTTAAGAAAATAAATACCTAAACTACTTGAACTAAATTGTTTCAATATCCTCAATAAACCAGCTACAATACACACCCTATAGCTGCCATTTTTTTCATTTATATCAATGATTGTTACTGAGTTGATGATTATTCTTAAAGAGTTTTACGAAAAGATCGAATTTTATGTACATTTACCCCTAATATACGAATATAAAACTTTAAAAGTTGTCAACATGTCACTTTTTCCTCTTTTTAATGATTTATTCAATGACATCGATATCACTATAGCATTGACATTATGATATTCAATTTTACTAGATCTAGCTTACAATATAACTGGTGGAAAAAAGTCAAATTTTATTTACATTGAACTTAAATCTTTCTAATAGCTATTTACGCTAAAATATGCAAATGTTTTTCATGTTCTTTTATTACTAATTGTATATTTTGATATATTATGACAACCGTTTGACATTACTTTTAGTTAAGTAAGGATATGAATAGTTTAGAAAACGTTATTAGTCTAGTTCCTCTAGTTGTAGGTGCTTTTTCACTAGTACACAAGCTAAAAATGAGAATTGTTAGGATATATGAGTTTCTTTTTTTTTATCTCATCAC